TCTACTGTTGAAGTTAAGAACTACACTCAGATATCCATGGATACCTCGAAAAACCAGTGATAATGTCTAATGTTTAAAAAAGAAGTGAAAACAATGAGGAATATAATTTTAGAAGTGTTTTTTTAAATAGTTTTTCCTTCTTCTTTACAAACAATGTAAAACAATTGTTTGACCACCTTTATAAATTACACCTACATTTTAAAAAAACACACCATAGAGTCTAAGACAAATAAACGAAGGAATTTATTCCAACAATCTTTTCAGTGAGTTCTCTTGTATTGAATAGTTGTAAGTCAAGATATGTTCACGAAAAAGCGATCAATATGTACTATACAAAATGAAGATATACATATATTTTATGAGTACCAGAAATGATGACCACAAGTCATTATTATTGATGCATCCACCAAAATCTGAATGAGATTGAGAAATATATCTGCATTTAATGGTTAACTCATGTAACATAGCCTCTTTTGGTAGTCCGTTATGACACGAACATTTTCCTCGTTGATAAATGAAATATGATTTTGTAGTACCAATGACAACATATGTATGCTTATATTAGTAGACATGTTAGCTTTGGTTACTTGGCAACTCTTGATGATAAATAAACAACAGATTTTTCTTTTTTCATTGTTAGTAAGACATTTGTTGGATTTTTATAGAATTATTGCAAGAATATATTCATCTTGGTGACTAACAATGGAGTCCAGAACGCACGTTTCTTCCTGTCTATGACTCGTCAGTTGAGTGCAACTACACCTCAGTGAACGATGACGTTCTCGCTGAAACTTGAGCCCAGTAGCCATCACTTCAAATACCAAAGTATTATCCTCTAGACCAGGGATGCATGAGAGCATCCTTTTGTGCAATGGATATCATTTGTTGTTTTCATACTTGTGATTTCCTGTTGCTGTACTGAGCCGAGTTGCTGCATTTGCATTTGAAGCTATGAGTACCGAGTTTGAGTGTCACTGCGGGTACATTCAGCTGACTGGCTTGAAAATTGACGAAACGCGCGTCCTGAATTCCACTGCTAGTTACCAAGGTAAGTATAAAATCATACATATCCGGAAGTAGAAGGGCCTCCGCATAACAGCCAATTTGCCAACAGAAGTCGAGCTATTCGACCCTGTATAGCAATGAGAAATTACAAGCATCAAAACAACATTGCAACAATACTTTATCATCATCATCTTGTAGACATATTCTTGCCAATAAACTGAGATGGAAATTTCTAGATAGTTTAGAAGGTTTTTCTGTTTCTTTCTTAACCTGAACAACTGATAACTGTTGACCAATTTACACCTAGAAATTCATTTAATCTCATAATTGGCTGGCATGTACTCAGACAAACATGCTCACTTTCGGTCTACATTTCAAAGAGAAAGATTTCATTCTAATGCAGTAATTATCTATATCAGAGATGGAGCATATCAGATAAAAGTCATATGAATTGAAAGAGATTTTAATTAGTGAAGAATTTGCTTTGGAAACATAACTGCACTACTGAATAACAAAATTCACTGGATGACTATAATTCAAACCAAGAACAAAAACACATTTTTACAACGAGATTGTAAGCATGAAGTGAAATAAAAGTCTGATCAGCAGTCGAACTTCGTAGTTCAGTTGGTAGAGCACCAGGCCGGTAACCCGGTGATCGCTGGTCCGAATCTGGCAGCAGGCCAGATTTTTATCTCACCTTCAATCACCACACAGTATATGGCATGTATTATTGTCTCTATTATACCGTCGTTGATTGGACCGAATTGATCTATCACTATCGACATATGGGCTCCTGTACAGATGCCTCTATAGTATGTTTCAATATAAGCAATTATACTAAAACTATACCCATCGCACAAGCAGTGGCCATCGTGGCTCTGTGGTGTACTGGATAATGCTCTCGCGTCTGAAGCGATTCCTTCCGAGTCAGTATCCCGGTGGGAAAAATATCACTCACAGGGAGGCAGGTAGATCCAGCTCACCAGTCTCAAACAGGACGAAATGCGCATCCTGGATTCCATTGCTAACTACTACCCATCATTACTATATAGTATGTATTGATAAAATCACATAACCTCGATTTTCTACGCAATTCCAAATAAATTTGAGTTATGCAAAGAGTAATGTCTTGAGCATCTTAGCAGTTAGGCATTTTTAAAAGACTATATATCAAGTTAATAATTCTCAAAGCCAAAAAATAACAAACGAATCGAAATCGTTGATCTTACTTCACTTCACTGGAGATTTCAAAAACCATACACTTTCAACATTTCATTTGTTAGCATAAAAAGACTAAGATAATTAATTCACTCTTTAACCTAACAGAAGGATTTTACTTTCAGTTACCTCTTTTGTTTCTTGTATTAACTGATTTTCAATTAGTAAGATCAATGTTCTGTAATGAGCTGTATGTCTACATACTTTCGTACCAATGTGTTCGAATAAAATGTCTTTGAATTTTTACTTGTACTAGTAGTTCCTGTTTTCCTTTATTTATTATTATTTGTCCCGTGGGTTCCTAGTGGAACATAGGGCTTCAAAAACACATCTCCATTCCACTATCTTCTCTGCAATATTTTGAACCCGGCTCCACCACTGCCCACAAGCTCTCATTCCTTCCTCACATCATCTCCTGCAATGTCACTCTCACCTCGGACGCCCAACTCGTCGTTTCCCATTTGAGTTCCACTCGATATCCTGGCCTGGCACGTGATGTCCTCAGTCGGCCTTCTCAGTGTATGTCCAATCCATCTCCACTTTATTCCACTGCATATTTGTTGAGCGATAGCTTCTTGCTTCGTTGGTTCGTTGCCCGGCCACAGTTCTTTGTTGCTTATTCTTATTATTCTGGTCGTCTGATCTTCAGCATCGAGTGGAGGTAGGCGGCAGTTGTTGATGAATATCTGTAGTTTGTTTGAAATGCTTTTCGTGACACGCCAACTTTCTCAACCATCACATAGAACCAATGACTTCACGTTGGTGTTGAAAATGCAGATATTGTTCAGGCTCTATGCTGAGTGCAGAAGGTCTCCACACTGGTTTCAGGTTAATGAACCCCTGTCTTGCTTTCCCGATACTCGCTTTGATGTTCTCGTCTATGTCGTCTGTAGTTGAAACAGTGCTGCATACTGTTTCCTTTTAATTTCCTAGTATTTTAATGGAAGCGTCAATCTTGATTCACTTGTTCACATTTAGAGCTTGTGATGTCTTCATTATCGCTGAAAATGTATTATTTATTTTAGACTGTATGCAGATAATGCAAAGACATTGAGAAAGATGATTTTAATCGTTTGTTCAAAGTGGTAACTTCTTTCTTTGTTCAAGATTATCCAAAAATTAAAATGTGCAAAAGTGAATCATTCGACACATTGGGAGTTGTATTTACACTTTAATTCACAGCAAACACTCTATAGGCTTAGATTTCATAGATGAAAGTAATTTCATATCGTTATGTCAGCGAAATAGTCAAATATGTATCCCGTAAAGTATTTTAACAAGGCTATAATTTCTCTCACTAGTTATAGGATCAATGATAATGACAATAGCCATATGACAGTATGGTAGAGACATGTTTCTTGAATTTTTTTACAGATAGTAGTAGTATAATACTGTTTATTGGATCAGGTTTTGAACAATAAATTTTATGCATAATCAAACCAAAGGGATACTACTATGGACAGTTGTATGAAAAAATAAGTTACTGAATGAAGGATACAAAGGGAGAGAAAAATAGAAACTAAAAGGATGAATGCTGACAAGAAGCACTGCAAAAGAACACCAGTCAATGAACAATTTTTAATTAATTTTAGAATGATATCCATCATGGAATGATACCAGTTGGAGAACTACTGGAAACCTGGGAGCACTTTACAACTGTTTCGTCCTATCACAGAACTCCTCAGCAATGTGTACACATGACCCCACCGAAGGTAGTACCCAGGATATTTATGTTACACGGCCAGCACGCGCCATTCAGTCACAAACCTCCGAATCGAATTACAGTAATGTTAATTAGTGACTTGTTTCGACATAAAAATTTTGAAGTTTTGATGAATAGTTGTGACCAATGAGGTCAACTAAGTTGGACGTGAGGACAGTTACTCAACAATGGCATTAAATGGAGTTTCCGCTATATCGAAGACTCACAGAAGAAGAAAACTGTGAATCAGTGGATGCCAATCCAGCGATTTAACAACAACGTGATGGTCAGGGAACCTGAAGATTCAAAGTTCAGTCCGTGAAGGGTCATGAGTGTGCATCGCTGAAGAGTCCAATACTAGTACGAAAGATCTGTTCAGTGCTTCAAGGTATTCAATGACTCTCCAAATGATATCAGTCCTTGATGAATATCAATCTAAAATAAATAAATAAATTCCCTACAAAACCTCAAAATTGAGTTAATTTCCATTTCTTGGTTTCTTAAAAAGCTTTTTGAAGGAAGTTTACTCCAATGATTGATAACATTTGAAAAACTTTTGAAAAATGAGATTACTGAGCTGTATATTTGCCTAAGTTTTAAACTTTTCAGTAGTGTGCATCAATTACTTCATCATATATGGAACCCAAAGCTGTTATGCCTGACGAAACAGTATATAATCATTTAGAAACTTGACTAGAATTCAATGCTTTAATTTTTTCTTTTGATTCGTAGCATAACACAACTACCATTCAATGTTATCGTTGTACACCTACCTCACTTCTGAGTTGGCTTACCCTACAAGTTATGAGAACTCTCATTAGAACTTCAAAGAATCCACCTTGAAACATATCACTAATGAGCACTGGTTAATAAATCAATTGTTATTTCGTAAGATTATTTGGTTCAACAGTAGCATTTATTACAGATTATTTTAATAATATAAACAACTGTTGAACTGTTTTTTTGAAATAATATGACAAAAAATGATTTGAAAATAGACATACTTTCTACGTGATTCTGAGTTTTTTTCAATATTATATTTTATAAAATGAAGGAAAAGATGATAACTTACTAATTAGTTCTATCGTAATCTGGTGCAGCAGCAGTTGTAACAATCAGTTTTCCATCAGATCCACATAAATAATTCACATGTCTTTTTGATTGTTTACCGTTAGATTTATCATTATTCTCTGATTCATTTGTCTGAGAATTTTCTGAAATACAATATTGTGTGTAAAATACTTTTATTATGTCACTAACTAATCATATCTGAATGTAAAACGTTAAATAACCTAAGAAGGTGTATTTAATTAAACAACAGGTATCAGTTTATGACTGAATGATAAACATATTATATTACTATATATTTTCTTAAAAAAAACGATTTCCTCATTAACCTCAAAATGCATTACTCTGCTCATTAGTGACATGCTTTAAGGTAGATGTCCTGAAGCTCTAATGAGAAGTCGTGATATGTAGGGTCAACCAAGCGGTAGTGAAGTAGATGCCAGGTGAAGACTTTAATGGATAGCTATCCTTTATAGTGAACTGACATAAGTAGTAGACTGTAGATGGAGCACCATCAGTACCAATGAAGAGGTTATGCATGCCTCAGGTCCTAACCAGTCCAAAGACCGAATTAGTGACCGTAAGTGCACAAAAGGGGATGAAAGTTTGGCCTGGGGCTATCAATGTCAAAGTCACTGAGTTAGAACTTCATCAAACTTCGATATCTGGCTCTGAGAAATGATAAATAATTAAAGCTAACTGAAACGCTAAAAAGCCAGTTACAGTCCTAGATCCAATTGTCATCACTCAACAGAGTAAGGATGAAGAAGAACTCTGTGAAAAGTCTGTAATCTTCTGATGATTTCAAAAGTAACTTTAATAAATCAATTTGTTACCGGAAAATATACCAGAGGCCACTCTACTATAGCTATATGGCATGGAAAAAAGAGGCACTCCCCGCCAAAAACAGATTTTGGTTAAATAAAGTCGTTTTCAGTTCTTCAGATGAGAGGGATCTTATTCCTATCAACGCTCATACACTTTAAGGAACTGGCATATTTGTGCGTAAAGATGTCTGTTGCTGATCGAATTAAATCACAAGAAGCAAAGGAAAAACCGAAATCCCGTTTGACAGCAGGAGGGAAACGTGTAAATTGGTCGGTTTTCATGTAGTAAGCGATCGAATCTAAATGATAGAACGATAACTTATTTCGGTGGTTTTGTCTTCTTGTATACAAATTGATGTAGTCTCCTAAGCAAATGGACTATTATATATATATATATATATATATATATATATATATATATATATATATATATATATATAGGGTTTATATACATTTACACTGACCTAGGCTATTTCTAGGCCTCACTAGATTTAGATCCTCTTGATTTTTGGTGTCTTCAATCAGTCTGATATTTACATGTCGATTCACGTGTTTTTTCTCGATAATTCGAAGCAAAGTGACTGGTTTTAAAAGGCTTTATCGGATAACGGTTACTTATGAAGATTATGGTAATCTTACTATACACCAAAACAAATTATCATCATAATTAACAAGAGATAATGGTGTTCGCTAAGCGTGCCCATTATCACTGTTCCTGGTTAATTTTGTTGTAACTGTAAAAATGGACATAACTTTACCAAACTCTGACTTCACAAGGATTAGTCTACTATCTCGAAGATCCTCCGGTTTACTCAGAGTACATAGACGACATTATCCTGCTAGGTGAAGTCTATATCAAAATGTAAGATCTTCTGAACGCCTTGAGCAGAAACCTGATTGTTTGGCATGCGTCTCGCACCTGTCAAATATAAGTTGACTGGTTAGTAACTACTCCCAGTTTAAGAATAGGCAGTGATGTGGTGGAATGTGTCAATAACTTCACTTACATTGGTTGTTGCATCAGCTAGAACGAGTTGGCTGCTGACGAAACCTCAGCACAGATACAGAAGACGGTTCTGGAATTCGCCAACTTGCATCGTCGGCTGGCGAGATATCCGACTACCTACTGAAGGACAAGTTTACTACGCCACGGTCCGTTGTGTGATGTTATACGTCTGTAAGACATAGCCATTAAAAGTAAAAGATATGAAGTGGTTACAAGATTTTGATCACGGGTGTCTGCGTGGCACTGACTGCCTTTGATGGAATCATACTGCGGGCAATCTCGAGGTTTGGTGAAAAGTACTAGGCAAGGAAGGCAAGTCAGTCGATGAGGTTGTGAACCTTCATCAACTGAGGCGACCTGGACGTGTGCTGTACATGACGAGCTACCGCCTACTTCAACGTCCAGGAATAGAAAAAGCCAGATAAGTTAGAAGAGAGTTAAAAATGACCAAACCAAGACATGGTACAAGTCCATAAAGTCCATAACTATTGTTCACAACCATGTGGGGAGTTGTGGACTAACTGGCTGGCTAAGGTATCCGAAACGATAGGAATCAATAGTTGGAGACCCCTGGTAACACGGCTGAAAATCGGTCACAAGTGCATTTATTCAATCACTCTTTGATTTCTCCTAAGGCTGAATTATTTTGACTAACCTCAGTCTTTAAACTTTCTCTGTTCCCATGCACCTTGTCTACTTTTCTGTCCACTTGCTCTTTGTATCCTACTGTAAAGTGTACAACTTGAACCAATACACTTGTGTGTGAGGTTCTATGTAGGTTTTTGTATGTCTCTCTGCCATCTTATGTGAACCGTAGGAAAAATGTATGGTGGTATCCCTGCCCTAATCTAATAGTTTGGAACTAACCGGCTAACTGAAGACGATAAAGACAAATCACGGGTTATAGCCAGACATTTTGCTGGAGGTTTTGCCTAGGAACCTTTAATGGACGCGAATTCAACAGTAAAAAGACTGATATTCAACAGAGTAAGCTCCGTGGACATTTATTACGATGACGTATTTAGAAATTTATGCAGTCTGGAAGTAGAAAAATTAACGAAACTAGATGAGTTACACCCATGGCTCCTCAACTAGCTTGCATCTTATGCAGTTGACTCATTGCTTAATATCTTTGGAGTGTACCTTGGTGAAGGTACTGTATCCAATGACTGGTAAAACATTATAGCTATATCCATCTACAAGACGGATTTCAGGCAAGACCCATCAAATGATAAACTGATAAGCTTGAATAGTAATGTATTTACAACGTAAAATAACCAAACAAAATTGTTTCTTTTCAGTTGGAGCATCTTCATGTTGGATAATGAACTAAATTCATCTCTTATTATACCCATCATTTAGTCACTAATCTCTTGGATGACTTTCAATTGTAAATCTCATAATGTTAGAATTTATCTCTGATTGCACTTCCATTTCAAGCTTCATAGAACATTTAACAGATGACAAATTTGAAAATTACAAGCTTAATTAATTATTGAAATTTTGATTAAATTTTCCATTATGGTTTGATAGAAATCAAATAATAATTCAACTTTACAATTATTCTTATATTGAATGTGTTCAATTCGACCCAAAATAGTTTGTTCCATGAATTAGGTTTTTTTTTATTAAGTTAAGAAAAACTGGAATTTTTATTGAACAGTATGTTTCTGAACAAAGTATGTTAATATATGACTTCTAATAAAAAAAAGGTCTCGAATTACCAGTTTATCTAATATTCGCAAACACATAAAACAAATAGACTTTTGAGATCATTTATTCTTTGGAATATAGATAAACAAGTGAAAATTATGTTGACAAGAACAATATAAACCTTAAGAAAGGACCAGTTGAAACTTAGAACACGAATGAACTTAACTTTTATCTCAATACAAGATTCCAACACATATTTTGATGAAATTATGAGAATATACAAAATAAGTTGTGTTTCATATTTAACATGTAATACACAGTTGCTGCATATGAATAGGGGAAAGACATACGAGAGTAAATGACCCTATATGTTCTCACCTGTTACGGTAAGGCGTTATATTTCACTCGATTAGGTTATAAACTAGTATAAAAATGAACAATTCACATAAATCGAATCGTTCACTTCTAAGTCACTTTGAGTATCAACTTTTAGACAGTTGCAACTAGATATGGAATTGCTATATAAATTCACTTCAAGTCAGTGCTTCTATGTGATGGTTGAGAAAGTTGGCGTGTCACGAAAAGCATTTCAAACAAACTACAGATATTCATCAACAACTGCCGCCTACCTCCACTCGATGCTGAAGATCAGACGACCAGAATAATAAGAATAAGCAACAAAGAACTGTGGCCGGGCAACGAACCAACGAAGCAAGAAGCTATCGCTCAACAAATATGCAGTGGAATAAAGTGGAGATGGATTGGACATACACTGAGAAGGCCGACTGAGGACATCACGTGCCAGGCCAGGATATCGAGTGGAACTCGAATGGGAAACGACGAGTTGGGCGTCCGAGGTGAGAGTGACATTGCAGGAGATGATGTGAGGAAGGAATGAGAGCTTGTGGGCAGTGGTGGAGCCGGTTCAAAATATTGCAGAGAAGAGAGTGGAATGGAGATGTGTTTTTGAAGCCCTATGTTCCACTAGGAACCCACGGGACAAATAATAAATAATAACAACATAAATTCACTGTTACTCAAGCCTACTAGTGCTCTAAATTACTGTCTTGTTAGCAGAAATCTCTCTCTAGAAATTCATGCTTGTCTACCCAAATGAGTACAGCGAAAAATCAATCTTGCAGATATGGGATCACTGACTGCCTATTTACTATAAATCATGATTATCTCAATCTCCATATACCAGTTTTCCTCATTTTTGTATTCTCCTTGTTTTCGGCTCTGTTGTTATTAACATAAATCTTACTAATGGTGGCTGAAAGTTAGATGAAAAACTGGGTCACAGAAGGATTTGAACCAGTGGCCTACAGATCAACTGACCCACGAAAAAGAGCTTATGACCAGGCTTAACATTTCTTCAACCACTGAGGTTTTAGCCCGGTTACCATATCTTCTTATCACATTCATGGCGACTACCTAGTCATTTCTTGTCGTTTAATCATTTCATTTACCTTTAGTCACACCAACTATCAACAGCATCAATCTGCCAAGTGATGTCTACTTCAGATAGCCTCATTAATAATCACTGCACTACCCTTTAACTCCAATTTAGCCTAATATGGATTTGGATGAGAGGTTGTTTCGTGTTTGATTACGATGAACGAGCAATTTAGTATGATAGATCCACATGGCAGCCAGACGA